ATATATATTTGAGAGAGAGGGAGAGAGACATAGAGCACAAGCGGAGAAGGGGCAGAGAGAGAGGGAGACACAGAATCTGAAGCAGGCTCTGAGATGTCAGCACAGAGACTGATGTGGGGCTCGAACCCACAAACCATGAGATCATGACCTGAGATGAAGTCGGGGCCTTAACCAACTGAGCCACCCAGGCGCCCCTCAGCCTTGTTCTTTTGAAGACTGGGAAGTGGCGCTGCGAAACTCCCAGTCCCCAGCTTCCAGTATGAGGCCAGTGCCTGCTCAGACACATTCTGGGCTCTGCTACCTGTTCCACCAGAGGAGACTCAAACTCACAGCATTATAGAGCTGACTGCTAAGACTGCACCAAACCAGGCCAGCACCCATCCCCGAACCTAGGCACCCATCTTCAGTTCCCCAGGCAGCCTCTGGCCTGCTGGGTCATGGCACATGCTGTACATGCCTAACTCTCCCAACCTTGAGATGGACCAGCCATTCCTGTGTGTGGCTTTGTGCTCATAAAGCGTATGACTCTAAACTGAAGAACCCCTGTAGCTATTTCTGATAGTGATATGAAAAGAATACTTTGTAAGAGGGTACAAATGCCTTCTTTAGAGGAATTACAAAAGCTTAGCGAGGGGTTTCTCCAAGCAACCAACTTTGCCTGTAATTAGCATTATGGACATATTATGAGGTCCACATTTTTTCATGGCCACAAAGAGTTACATTCCCAATAGGTAAACTGGGAAACATGTGAACTATTTGCTGAACTTTTGTGACAAGTAATGGATGCTCTGACTTTATCAACAGGGACCCTTCTCAATGGCAGCTGGAATGCTGTGGGTTGGCCACCACACTGTGTGTTGGGAGAAACAGAAGTCAAAGCACAGAGAACACAGACCCATGGGTAGGGGGTACAGGAAGGTGACCTGAAGCTCAGGGAAGTCAGGTTGTAACTGATACCCATCCAAAGGTGGAGGGGGCTGCCTCCTCCACAGGCACTGAGCCAGGCTAGCAGAGGCTGGGGGTTGGGGGGGTGGCTTTTAACCCTCTGACAGTGGTCTGGGCTGGCTTAGTGGAGGGTCAAGGCTCCCGTTCAGGGGACTGTACTAGGTGTAAGAAACACTAGCATGGAGTCAGAGGGTTAGGGGAGCAGGGAAGTGGGGTAAAGGTGAGAAGCCAGAGGAGAAGGCTCTAGGCCTCCCCAGGACCTATTCTTACAAGTTGCAAAAGTGAGTCAGAAGGCTCCCCAGAGCCGGGCTATGGAAACCAAGTGGCTTAACTTACTGTGAAAGGCAAGGAGCACACAGCAAAGGTGATGGTCATAATAGCCAGGAGAATGAGGTGGTCTGTCTCCTCCGCCATGGACAGCCTTTCCCCTCTCCTGCGGGCCCCAGGGGCGTCCCGGCAGCTGCCCAAGGAGGGCCCGCAGCGGCTTCTCCTGCTCCGACGGTGCATGCGGATGAGGTTGAGGATGACGCTGAAGTTGCAGGCGAGCACCGCGACGATGAGGAGGAGCAGCAGGGTGGCATACAACTGCAGGTACGTAGTGTGGCCGTGCTCGATGAAGCACCACGTCCCGGGGCAGTACTGGACGTACTGCCCGTAGTTCAGCAACGGCAGCGAGCAAAAGAGTAGGGAGACGGCGTAGATGGTGGGCAGCACTGCCAGGCCGCTGCGGCGCGTGACACGACGCTGGTAGAAGTAGGGGTGCCCGATGGACAGGTAGCGCTCCAGGGCCATGGCGAAGAGCATGAGCATCGTGGCCAGGCTGAAGAAGGTCATGGCGAAGGCGAAGTAGGTGCACGCACGGCTCTCAGGCGCCAGCGCCACCAGGGTCTGGTTTCGAGCGTAGGAAGCCAGCACCACCGGGCTGATGAGGCAGGTCCCAAGCAGGTCGGTGAACACCAGCTCTGTCACCAGCACGTGGAACAAGGAGACCGAGTTCCCGCGTCCCGCGTCCCCCCGCCAGCGGCGCACCAGCAGCGCCAGAGCGATGAGGTTCCCCAGCACCCCGGCCGAGAACATCACCGAGCTGATGGCCGGACTTTCGCCGGAGGGGAGCCACTGCCGCGACCCGCAGTCCTCGGGCCAGGAGTCATTGGAGGTATTGCCCATGGTGGAGTGCCGGCAGGAGAGCGGCGCCCTCCTCTCCCGGCTCGTACCTGGGAGGAGGAGGGTCTGAGAGCGCTCCGGCACGCAGAGGGAAAGGGGGAGGGATCCTAGTCCAGAGCCCCCTTCCGGCCCCCAGCGCGCCCAGGGCAGGCTCGGCCCCAGGGCTCGCGTCGCTCCGGGAGAGGCCACTAGGCTGCAGCATCCGGGCAGCGCTCAGGGCTCCTCTGCCGATCCGCGCTCCTCTCGGCCGCGGCCCCGCGCCCAGGGGGCGGCCGCCACCACTCCGCACCCGCCTGGGGACGGACTCAGAAGCGGAGTCACCGTCCCCAGGGCTAGCGCCCGCAAGCCGCCCCAGAGGTGGGACGCGCGCGTCCCACCCCGTGGGGGCACTGCGAGTTCACTGCGAGGTCCTCAGCGGGGAGAGGGGAGGAGACGGCCCCGACCCCGAACGCCGGCCCGGCCCGGCCCCGCGGGCGCTGGGCTGGAGCTTCGCCGGGGCCCCTCTCCCACCCAAACCCTGGGCAGTGGGTGCTGGAAGCCGCACGGCCGCCGACCTCGGCTAGGAAGCGTTGAGCCCAGGCGGAGCGCTGGGAGCGAGAGCGGGGCACTTGTGGGGTGTGCGCAGAATTCACGGAAGGCGAAAACGGGAAAGCAAGAGTGACTCACCAGACAATGGAGAAGTTTGGAGGGCCAGTCCCGGCCGTGTGCATAAGAAGGGAATAACAGACACTAAAGACAGCTTGCAGTAAGATCAGTGTTCTTTTTCTTTTCTTTTAACATTCTCAGGAAGATAAGCCAAGGGGCCGGGACCAAAATTGGGAGGAAGTTGAAAGTACGCCTGGTGGGTGTGAGGAACCGAACCAGGCGCGCCGCTGAGCTGCCTGTTGCATTGTCGGCTTTGATTCGGTTGCCAGCATTTCGCCTTTTCCTGTGTCAACACCAGAACGGCTAACCACTCGTTACAGCAAGCAAGCAAGAATGAAAAGAAAAAAGAGAAAGAAATGTTCCTGATGTGTGGAATTGTGTTTGTGAACACAGCTGGAAAGCACCGCACGGCGGCTCTCCACTCAAGATCGGCCCTGAGAGAAAATGTTGCTCAGGATTAATCTTTTCATGTTAACTGTGCAGAGCACATTTGGAAAGACCCATCCCTGGTAAAGTGTATTACTAAGTGGCCAGTTTTAGAAACTAGGGCTGACAAACGTGTCACACACAGTTGCAGACTCCTGAAAATGGACTGGTGTTTAAAACAACAACAAAAAATCCAGTTTGATGGTCGAAAGGGGGTAATTCTATTCTGTGAGGAAGGTCATAGCCACTTGGGGAAGGGAGGAAGACTGGGAGGTGGAAGGATCTGCATAGGGAACAGGCAAGGGGAAAAAGTCATCAGCGTGGAAGAAAGAAAAAATTACCTGTCGAAGAACACATCTTACTCGCCATGAATGTGTTAGCTCACCTTGATACTTGGTCTGGGAATTGGAATGGAGATGGGGCTCCCAAAGGACAAGTTCACAGGGAGTCTATTTTTCTCAAATAAGGAGTTCAGCAGTCACAGGTAGGTGGGCTTCTCAGGACCCACCTCCTTCTGTTCTCCAGCCCTTTATTCCTAGCATACCGGCTTTCAGTCTACATGTTCTTTCCCCATGTAGTCACCAGTCAGGATTCAACCAGAGAAAAAGAACCACTATAAGTGATGAAGAACGACAGATTTATTGTTAGGCACCAGATCTGTGCTGTTCAACATAGTAGCCACTAGCCACACGTGGCAGTGTAAATGAATTAAGATGAACTGAGAGTAAAAATGTAGTTTCTCGGTTGCACTAGGTACACTTCAAGTGCTCGATAGACACATGCATGTGACTAGTGGCTATCGTTGGGCAGCTCATATACAAAACATTTCCATCATCACAGAAGTTCTATTGGAGAATGAGGCATCAGACCTTACATGATTGTGGGAGCTCATTGAGAAGTCTGTTCAAAGCTGTTTGAGGTCTTTGATTCTAGTGTTGAATGTGAAGTCACCATAGGTCAGACAGAATGGCAGTCAGGGTAGAAAGCTAGACCTGGATAAAAGCAAGTACAGGCTTGGAACCTGCAGGGGCTAACTGGAATTCATGAAAAACTAGAATCCTCTAAGACAGACTGGATTTGTGTGTGTCCCTCACTACCTCTGACCTTGATAACAGGCATACTGCAGAAGAAGCTGGCATCCTTCATGGGGCTGCACATGCACTTGGCTTAGGACACGGAGAAGCTGAAGGAGGACACCCGACCAGCAAGGTGAGCCAGCGGATGAGTGACAATGTACTAGAGTCACCACTGTGCCTGGAGCCCTTGCATTGTCCTTCAGAGCATGAAAATCATGGCTGCTGCTTTGCCGCTGCCCTCTCAATCACATACAGCACTTCTCTTGTGGCTACTGCTAACCTTGAAACCATGCAGAATTCTGGAGAACAGATCCTGCTCAGCTGAGTTGACCCAGTATAAAGCTACCACACTGCCCCGTGGGTCCAGGCATGAAGTCTGCATTGAAAGAGGAGGGTGAGAAAGAGGCAGCTCCTGTGAGCTCTCTTTCTCTCTTGTGCTTGTTTCTTTCATCAGGAAAGCTAGTTTTCTAGAAGCACCTCGGTAGACTTCCCTTTGTGTCTCTTTAGCCAGAACGTGGCAAATTGGCCACTCCTTAGCTCCATAGGAAGCTGAGACGAGGGTATTGGGCATTTCCAGCTTCTTCCAGAGTAGAGACAGGCAGGGGAGAATGGGCTGGGAGTGGCATTGGGTTAGTCAGCCTCTTGTCCACTGTTGTGCACAGTGCATTCCCTACTATCCCCTCTGTGGAGCCTGAAAGGAAGGGCAAGAACACCCATTCCAAGTTGCACCCATTGCATTTGAAGAAACTGAGGCACAGAAAAGTTGATGATCTTACCCAAGGACATACAAAGTTAGTGCAAAGCTAGGAGTATGGAAGCCAGACCACCTCAATTACATTACAGACCCCTGCATATTGCGCACATTGTCCATTTAAAGCCAGAAAGGAGTACATGGCAAGATACCCATCCTCAATACTGCATTAGAGCTCCCTGGCAAATCACCCAACACAATTTAGATGTTACTTTTTGCCTGACATATTGGTGAAATTTGAAAAGATTACACATATCCAGTATGACCAGAGAGAGAGAGAGAGAGAGAGAAATGGGCTTACTATTGGTGGAAGTGTGAGTGTGGCTACAGCCTTCTTGGTGAGAATGGTCTGTTAATTATCACAAATTTTGAATATGCTTCAGCCCAGAAATAATATTAAAGAAATGTACTGCCTCAGGAGACATAATCTGACAAATACACAAAGTTATCATATACGCACAGCAGAAAGAATGTTCGTTATTGCAAGAATCTAGAGGACTTCCATAGAGGACTTGTTTAATAAATTTTGATATACCTATGCAATGGATTATATAGTCGCTGAAAAGGATGATATGTATCTGTAGTTCTTGATAATGATCTTTACCACATATTGAGTTAAAAGCATGTATATTATTTCATTCATATAAAATGATATGTGTAAGCATTTGCATAGAGCAGCATCTAGAAGGATGTTCAGCAAAATGTTAGTAGTAATTTCTCCGGTGTAGTACTTTTTTCTTTATGCCTGTTTGTTTTGACTGATTTTTCTATAAATATGTATTACCTTTATATTAGGAAATGCAAGGAAGCTGCATTAGAAAAAATTTTTTAGAAAAAAATCACTGGAGGAGACTGTCCTTTCTACTTGGCAGAAAGAAGGGAGTTAGATGCTAATGTTTTAAATTATCTTCCAGTTCTACTGTTAAGGTCTTGCCAGTTGTTTGAGGCTGATCAGGAAGAGTGGAGATGTATCCTTATATTTTTCACGAGGATTTTTGCAACTGTCCTTATTTGAAGATTGGAAATAATCACGCATTTCACACCATTTCTAATAAGACGGTGCCCTGCCCTACTTCAAGTGACTGCTTTGACATTAGATTTTTGTCATCCCTTAACACAATTCTGTCATCACCAGGAAGTCCCTGTCTTACAAAGGTGGAAACAAAGTGTCAACCAAAGGGTCCAAAAAAACAAAAAACCTCAAAACGCAGTTAATAAAAACCAACTTTGAGATAGGTTCAAAAAAAATTAAAGGTAACTAACTATAAGTGGGCAGGTAGAATCTTAGTGGAGAAATAGAAACTATAAAAAAAAAACCGGAGTGGAAATTCTAGAACTGAAACAGCAGCTTGTATTTGGCAGAAGAAAGAGTGAGCTTAAAGACTAATCACCTCTGGTCACCCTGCTTTCCATGTTATCATTACTTTTGCGCTCACTGGAAATATTCACACACTTTCCATACGATGCAAGGCTTGCCCCATTTACCTATCAAGAGATGCATGGGTTTTCTGTGCTCTCGGATACCTCAAACCTCTCTGGGATCTGGGGTGCAGGGCCACATTATCTAGGAAACTCCAGTGTTCACATCTAAGCTAACTCTTGTTCTCTTGAACCTCCCCTTCTCTCTTTCACAGCTTGTGGACCCAGGTGGGGAAGAAGTAGGACAACTTTACTCTTCCTCATCTCTGACCTAGGTCTCCTCTACCTAGGTCTCCTCTACTCTAGTCTTTCAAAAGTCCTAAGCCAAACATTGTGTTCTGTTACATTGTTCTTTCTTTGAGGCAGTTAGCATAGCACACCCTAGCTGCTGCTAAAACTAGGCAAAGGGCTCACTTATCAGCCAAGTACTGGGCAAAAAAATTCACAGGTTAATATGTCAAATTATAACATTTACATTCACCTAGGTGTGTGTATATCCGAGGCTTGGTGAGACTTATTACAACCTCATAGGATTGTTTGAGAAACAATTTGATAAAGTCTTTGCAAAACCTGGGTCAATACAAAGTGCTTTACAAACGGATGTAGGAGTACAACAGTTCTCTTGTCTTTAGACGGGAACTATCACAGCTGCTTATTAGCTCCAGGAGTTCGATCAAATGAGTCAC